CGAGGACAAGCAGAAGATTCTTGACAAGTGCAATGAAATCATCAACTGGCTTAACAAGAACCAGACTGCAGAGAAAGAAGAGTTTGAGCATCAGCAGAAGGAGCTGGAGAAAGTCTGCAACCCCATCATCACCAAGCTGTACCAGAGTGCAGGGGGCATGCCAGGGGGGATGCCTGAGGGCATGCCAGGGGGCTTTCCCGGAGGGGGTGCTCCTCCATCTGGCGGCGCTTCTTCAGGACCCACCATTGAAGAAGTTGATTAAACCAACCCTGAGTGTAGATTACATAGCATTGCTCCACACAGTAACATGTGGAAGGACCCCAATTTGTAGTGAACTCTGGCAGTCTTAAAAGTTCAGCTGCTATAGTGAATTACTAGGCATTCTCAACACTTGAATATGGAACACATGCACAGGGAAAAATAACATTGCACTTTATAAGCACTGTATCATAAGTGGAAAATGCAATGTCTTAAATAAAACTTATTTAAAATTGGCACCATAAAAAAAAAAAGAAAAAGGAGATTGCAGTGTGGTCATTCCCCTGAGGGGTGATTTCTCACTTTCCCTCTCACTATGTCTATCTGTCTGTCTTTCTCTGGTGAGTGCACACACCCTAAGGCATAAACCTCTTAAAAAAAAAGTCATGGACAATCTGGAGACTTAGGAAGAGTCTTATCACAAGGGTGGAACTATCACAAATGGGCTCCCAATAGGGCAATAACAAGTGGAAACGTGGGGTCACAACCACCATAGAGAATCCCCACTAGGGCAATGCAAAGTGGAACTATAGGGATGAGGCCACCCTCTAAACCCCAGAATTGTGGAGCTACCAATGTCCAACAACAACCTAAGATAAATGCAGGCATGAGATTCCAACCTGTGAGAACATCTGTGTGGGCTGAGCCCAGAAAACCCATAAGAGCAGGCCCTTCTAAAACCCTGGGGCACAACCCTCTCAGTGTGTTCAGGAGGTGGCATAGAGACTGAAAGATTATTCTGGACTCTTAAGACATAATATTGGGGCCAGCAAGTGGCATAGTGGTTAAGACAGGGCACATATACTATGTATTCCATATACTATGGAATACTATTCAGCCATTTTTAAAAATCCTGGCTTTTGACAGAAAGTGGAAGAATATGGAAGATTTACTGCTGAGTGAAGCAAACCAAGCTATGAAGGAGAGACATTATATGTCCCTACTTAATATATATACCAAGTGTCCGCACTCTATAACTGAAACTGATTCACTAAAGGATATAGCAACACAGTAAATGGATATAAATACCAGATATAGTGTATGTAAAAGAGTAGGGTCTGAGGAAGGACATTTAGAAGAAAAATAGGCAAAGCATTAATGGGACAAAGAAATGTGGTATTATCTGTTGAGGATATTTTATAGTTTTATCAACTGGACTAGAGAGAAATGTTCACATGTTGAAATATTCACTTTGTAAACTAAATAATGTGATTGAATATATAAAAGAAAATGAAATTTAAAAAATGTAGATGAAAAAAAATAAAAAGACACTGGATTTCCACATGGCTGACAGAAGTTCAAGTTCTGGACCTGGTGGCTTAAAATTCATGCCAGGCATGTGTGTGTGTGTGTGTGTGTGTGTGTGTGTGTGTGTGCATGCCCACAATCCTGAGAGGATAATGGAGGAGAAGAGATTATGTCCTCCCTGAAAGAATGATTTCTCACTTTCTCTCTCTGTATCTCTGTCTCTCTGATGAGTACACGCACTCTATAGCCAAAATTTCATTTAAAAAAAGATGCACTATCTGCCCTGCTGGATTTCATACTTGCTTGGGTCCTGTTATTCTTTTCTTCTTGTAGAGTGGGAATTTAAACCCTGTGGCTATTCTACCATTGTATTTTGGAAGCAAGTAATTTGTTTTGATTTCACGGGCTCATATCTGGACTTTGGACTTCTGAGTTGGTGTTAGACTGAGTTAAGACTGGAAATACTGGGATGAAATGGATGTATTTTAATTATGAAAAAGATATCAATTTGAGGGTCATGAGTGGAATGCTATGGCTTGAACGTATTCCCCCCAGAATTCATGTATTGAAATTTGGTAAGCTGGTATAACTGTCAAGAAGGTGAGAAAACTTTTTCCTAGCGTTGTACTAAAAGGTGAGGTTTCACTTGGGAAAGTGAATAGGCAACAGGGTGGGGCCTCCATGTTTGGCTACTTTTGGATTTATAAAGACACCGATGTTAAGTTTTCTTGCTCTGCTCAAGTTTTACCATGTAATGCCCTGCACCACCTTAGGTCAAGGAGATCCTCACTAGACACAGCCCCTTGACCTCCAAAAACATGAATTAAATAAACCTCTATTCTTTACACATTGCACAGACTCATGTATGTTTATTATTAGCAACACAATAGACTAAAAATATGTATTGTTAGTATAGCCACTCCTGCTGTCTTTTGGCTACTCTTTTCATGGTATATCCTCTTTCATCCTCTTCACTTTCAACCTATTTTTGTCTTCAGATCTAAAGTGCATCTCTTGTAGACAGCATATGGTTGAATCGCGCTTTTCTTTTTTAATCCATTCAGTCTCCATCTTTTGATTTAAAAAATTACTGATAAGGGACTTAATTCTACCATTGCTATTTGTTTTCTATATGTCTTATAACTGTTTAATTCTTCATTTCCTCCATTGTTGCCTTCTTTTGTGTTTAGTTATTTATTTTTTTGGTAGTGAACATTTTTATTCTTTTCTCATGTTCTATTGTGTGTATCTTGTAGTTATTTTCTTTGTGGTTACCATGGGGATCACATTACAGATAACATCCTGAAGTTATAACACTCCAATTTAAATTTATACCAGTTTAACAGCAATAGCATCTAAAAACTGTACTCCTTGACAATTCAGTAACTGCCTTTCTGTTGTTGATGTCACAAGTCCACATCTTTATACATTTTTGGCCCACTAACAAAGGATAATTGTCTTTATGCACTTTGTTTTAAAGTATGTAAAATAAAATGAAGTTACAAAATGAAAATATAAAACTGCCTTTTATATTGCCCATGTGTTTACTAGAGATTCTTCTTTTATTTTAAAGTTTATTTACTTCTTTCTTGAGTCAGAGAGAAGATCTCTCAGGACTATATGGTCCTGATGCCACAATACACCCCCAGCCTCAGCCAGCCCCAGATCTTGGGCATGCTCATGCCCAGTATGCTCAGGAAGGTTTCCAGGTGTGGACCCGGAAACTTCCCATGCGGGTCAGCCTCACGGAGTGCCATGTTCTGCACCTCACCCAGGTCTCCTGGTGCTACAGGTGCAGCCAGTATGGCCAAGGTGGGCTTGTGTGCTCAGGGCCAACTGGGAGTGCTTCCCTGTCACATTTTCACATTTTCACTCCCTTCTTCAAGGGGAGTCACTGCATTAGTTCCCTAATCCACTGTCTGGCCCCCAAGATAGCACTTTTAAAAAATCTATTTCTTGGGACCAGCAGATGGCATAATAGCTACATCACTGGACTCCCATGTAGTCAACCGCACTTCAAGTCTCACACCCGATGGCTTAAATTCATGTCGGGCACATGTGTGTGTGTGTGTGCCCAAAATCCCAAGAGGAGAATGGAGGAGAAGGAATTGCAGCGTGGCCATCCCCCCTTGGGGGTGATTTCTCACTTTCTGTCTTTCTGTTTCTCTCTGTCTTTCTGGAGAGTGCACGCACCCTATAGCACAAACCTCTCCCCAAAAAATCTCTTTTTTCTCTTTTAAGTTTATTTTTATGTGTAATAGAGAGCATGTACAAGAATGGAGTCAGAGAGAGAGAAAAAACAAAAATCACTCCCCAACAGGGCTGGTCCCACCACAATTCTTTTCCCTCCAATTTTTCATCCCATCAAGATCCTGGGCACCCACACACGCCTAGCTCTGGGACGGCGATCCAACCGTAGTCAGCCATGTAGGATCCAGTCTCCTCTACACAGAGTTTAACCACTGCATTGTAGGCCAGTCCAGACACCTTTATTTCTTCATATGGCTTTGAGTTACTGTCTAGCATCCTTTCATTTTAACCTGAAGGACTCTCTTTGGTGGTATTAAGAAGAAAAACTAGCAGATGGTGTGTTGGTTAAGGTGCTGGACTCCCACTGCAGTTTGAGTCCTAGAGCTGTCAGCTTTCTCTCTCTCTCTCTCTCCCCCTGCAGCGAGTGCACATGCCCTATAGCAAATAATATAAAAAAATAGTTAATTAAATTAAATTAATAATTCTAAAAAAAAGAAGAAAGTTGGAGTACTCATACTTCCCAATTTCCAAACTTACTACAAAGTTACAGTAACAGAACAGTATGTTGGGGTCAGCAGGTGGCATGGTGGTTAAGGCGGCTGGATTCCCACATGGCCAAATCGAGTTCAAATCCCGTGACTTAAAAATCACACTGGGCACCTGTACTTGTGTGCCCAAAATCCTGAGAGGAGAATAGAGGAGAAAGGATTGCCGCACGGTCACCCTCCCAGGGGAGTGATTTCTCACTTTCCCTCTCTCTGATTTTGGACGAGGGTGCCAGGACCATCAATAAGGAAAGGACAGTCTTTTCAATGAATGGTTACAGGAAAACTTGATATCCACATGCAAAAGAATGAAGTTGGGGCCTTTCCTGGACCCTTACACTATACAAAACGTTAACTCCAAACTGGGAAAAAAAAAATATGTTAGAGCTGAAACTATGAAACTCTTAGAAGAAAACACTGGAGAAAATCTTCCTGACATTGGATTTGGCTGAGTGCCTCACACCAAAGCACAGGTGGTAACAATAACAAAAACAGATAAGTCAAACTTCATCAAATTAAGAACTTCTGCACTAAAAGGTATTATAAAGAAAGTGACGAGACAGACTACAGCATGGGGAAAATATTTCCAAATTATCTATTAGATGAGTTAATATTCAGAATATATAGATAATGCCCACGACTTGACAACAACAAAACTTTTTTTTTTTTTTGGAGAGGTTTTTGCTTTAAGGCGCGTGCGCTCGCCAGACAGAGATAGAAAGCGAGAAATCCCCCCCCAGGGGGGATGGCCACACCACAATCCCTTCTCTTCCATTCTCCTCTCAGAATTTTGGACATGCATGCCCGTGCGCCCGGCGTGAGTTTAAGCCACCAGGTCCAGGACACAAACCACGGTCGACTACATGGGAGTCCAACCACATAGCCATTACGCTAACTGCTGGTCCCAACAACAAAACATTTTTTTAAAACAGGCAAAGGACTTAAGTAGACCTTTCACCAC